GAGCTCATCAATGATCCCAGTCACCTCACATCTCCTGTAATTCGGCCTCAGTAGGAGAAGAAGCAGATTTGTTTGTTGTGTGACTAGTTGGGTCTGAGTCCTCAGTCAGGGCCGTCTGCAGACTGGCGGGAAGGGAGTGGATCAGTCTCTTTCGGAAGTCTCTCCCCAGGAAGACGTAGAGCATTGGGTTGAGGCAGCTGTTGAAAAAGGCCAGGGTGCCTGTTATAGGTACCAGGTCAAGAATGATGTCATAATTTCCTTCAAATACTGCTCTGACATAGAGTGTATTCAGAAGAAGACACAGTTGGAAGGGGAACCAGCAAATGAAAAAGGAGGTTCCGACAACTGTGAGGACTCGTAAGGGACGATGGGACTTTATCATGCCCTTGTTTCGCATTTTGGCTGCAATGAGCCCATAACAAATGGCAATGATGGACATCGGTAGAGTGAAGCCAATGACAAACCGGTTGATCCCTATGATTGCTATTGAAGTAAAGCTCCTCTGCAACATCTCTTCTTGACCGATGTCACCCCAGAAGTCCATGTTGAATTCACAGATTATATCCCCGTTATCATTTTTGAATGTAGTAAAGAAGATGAGAACTGGCAAGTTGAGGAGTAGAGCAAGAATCCAGGGTACAATGATCACTTTTTTAGCCAGACTTAGAGTGCGGTGGTTCTGGGCCCAGACCGGATGCAAAACACAAATACAGCGGTCCAGAGCAATGAAAGCAATGAAGAAGACACTGGCAAACAGGTTTATGTCTCCCAGAATGGTAAATATCTTGCATAGGAACCAGCCATAAGGCCATCGTCCCTGCATGTAATTCACAACCATGAAGAATGGCAGAGTGGCGCTGAAGAGGAAGTCGGCGATGGCCAGGTTCAGGTAACACAAGGTGGTGACTGTGCATGCCATGCGGAATCCAGCCACCCAGATCACAAGCCCATTTCCCACGGTGCCGAGGACGCAGGTGATCCCATGCGCCACAAAGAAGAAGATCTCCAGAGCAGTGTAGCAAGTTTCCATCCTGACCGCACCTGAAACATGTCAACATTGAGAGTGTGTCAGTGGTGCACCATACCACAGCACTTCTGTTCAGACCAACAACTTCCACTGGAGCTTCCTCTCCAGACCCACTCTCCTGAACCTTGTGGCTAGTCACTAGGATTGGACAGACTCTTGGCTGTTCCTTTGGGAAAGGTCACCTCTCAATGTTTCCATAATTACTAGTAGGCATTCTACCGATTGGGCTGATTCCTCAACAAAGAGTGTTCCAAGGCTCCTGTCCATCACCAGAATCCTGAACTGAGATGTATAAACAACAGAAAATCAATGGAAGGCATTGTGGGCACAGTGGATAGAGTATTGGCCTGCGGACTGAAGGGTCCCAGGTTCAATTCCGGTCAAGGGCATGTACCTTGGTTGCAGGCACATCCCTGGTGTGCAGGACGTAGCTGATCAATGATTCTAGCTCTCTATATCTCTCCCTTCCTCTACGTAAAATATTTAAAAAATTTCTTTCTGCTGTATCATTCTATCACACAAACAGGATCATATGTGCTCTCTTCACAAAGCAACCGCCCTGGGCCCATGCTCTTTTTCAGCTTCAGCACTGTGTTCTCTCAAGAGAATTCTCTTGGTGAAGCATATTCATGGCCAAACACTACAAGGCAATGTCTCCACTTGTCACCTCAGCTTAACTCCTAAATTCACTGTGAATTGACTTGGTCCTGAGTACTCCAAGGACTGTGCTCCCCTTCAGGGGGCCCATGGCCTCCATGTCACTCTCCCAGAAGTGCCTTCTGGGTTCCTATCCTGATATCTCAGTTCAGGGGGACCCATAAACCACTTCCTCCTTCTCATGCCAGTTGATGATAAAATGTGCACGCAACACAATCTTGGTTGTGCTAATAGCTCAATAGGCCACTTCACCTCAGTCTTATTTACCAGCCTTTTCTCCTCCCAATCCGAAGGTTGCCTCGAATAAACCAAACTCTTGACTCCCCCCCCAAATCTACCTCTCTCCGTAATCCATGCCTGTTTGTAACTTACGTGCTCAATTGTTAAATCTCCAAAGCTAACATATCCTTGCACCCTCTTTCCGTGACCATCCCATCCAAGTCAACCAAGCCTCTCTCCAAAATCAGTGAGTCCACATGTGGAATGGTTTCTTTTACCCTAACCTTGATCAGTATCCCTTTTCTGGCTGCAGATCTGCACTAACCTTCGCAATGGCTTGTTCTTGCTTCTGATGCTGTCTCCACCCAAATCCGTTCTCTAGACATCAGGCAGATGATCTCTTAGGAACACAAATCATACCATGACATTATTCTGCTCAACAGCCTCCAATGACTTCCAAACTCATAGCTCAGTTCCCAAGCACTCTTGGGTCTGTTCTGTATACCCTTCAGAACTCTTATAGCCACTGTCGTCTTACACCCTGTGAGGAATCCACACGGAATCCATTTGATTTCTTGAATGTACCAAGCTCATTGCCATTTCAGGCTTTTTCAGGCTCTGTTCCTTTTGCGTACTATGCCCCTCTTTTTAAGCTTTCCACCTCTGGCACTCTCTGAATATTGCTATCTCAGCTTAGATGTTATATTCTCAGATGTGTGTTTTCTTTTCTTTTTAAAAAATAAATTTTATTGATTTTTCACAGAGAGAAAGAGAGAGATAGAGTTAGAAACATCAATGAGAGAGAAACATCAATCAGCTGCCTCTTGCACACCCCTCCACTGACAAAGTGACCGAAGCCAAGGTGCATGCCCTTGACCGGAATCAAACCTGGGACCTTTCAGTCCGCAGGCAGATGCTCTATCCACTGAGCCAAACCAGTCTCCGCAGATGTGTCTTTTCTGACTAACAGTGAAAAGCAGCTTCCCCAAGAACAGACTGTATCACCAGGGACAGTCCTTATTCATTTGTTCATTCATTTATTTTCTTTTTCTAAGTACTCTCTACATTCATACACCTGCAACAGAAGACTACAGAATTCATCCAATGCTGTATCTCTAGAGCCACGCTGAGAGTCTCATATGTAATACGATATTTTAAAAGCAAAAAAAATGAATTTCAATAATTTATTTAACTGAACATATAGAGACTACCATTTGAGCATAACCAATCTGAGAATTTTCAATGAGGCATTTTTTTCCTTCTGTTTTCATGCCAAGTCTTTGAATATCAGAATTCATTTTTGACTGCAGCTCAATGCAGGTCAGATTAGCAAAACTCAATAGTCATATGTGGCAAGTGGATTCCTATTGGACAGTCCAGCTCTAGAGCTCAGGAGGTATCTGCCACATAATAGATGCTCTCATAACAATTTTAAAATTCTCAGGCTTGGAACTTACCACCAGCTGCTGCCTGTTCCTGTGTCCAGTTCCTGGCGTGCTGTGGCAGGAGGGCTTCAGCAGCTGCTTTATTAAAGAACAAGGGGGAGGGACAATGGGGCTCAACCAGTGAGGTGACAGATGCCCATCTCCTTGCATTTTCCATAAAACACTCTGGATATCTTGTCAGGGTACTTTATTTATTTAAAATACATATTTATTAATTTCAGAGAGGAAGGGAAATGGAGAGAGAGATAAAAGCATCAATGATGTGATTCATGATCAGCTGCCTCTTGCATGCCTCTTCCTGGGGATTGAGCCCACAACCCAGGCATGTGCACTTGCCCGGAATTGAACTTGGGACCCTTCAGTCTGTAGGCTGATGCTCTATCCACTGAGCCAAACCAACTAGGGCAGAGTACTCTTTTTAGAACCTTAGTGTCTGAATATTCCCCTCACCTCCTACCTGCTATGGGAAGCAGGATTTCAGTGGTCTAAATATCAAGGGCCAAGGATATTTTGTTTCCGGGCCCTTTCTCTTTCAGAGATCCAGGGAAATGAAAGAAATAATTGCTGATGTTAGAGGAATTGGAGGCAAGCCATAAAATGTGCACATACCTCATTAGCACAAAATCTGGTGTGATCCAAAAGGGACTCTTCATGATAAAAAGACAGTTTTAGCCTTAGATGGGTTGGCTCAATGGATAGAGCATTGGCCTCAGACTAAAATGTCCAGGGTTCCATTTTGGCCAAAGACCTGTACCTCAGTGGCAGGCTCTATTCCTGGCCCTGATTGGAGTGGATGTGGTAGACAACCAATCTCTCTCTTTCTCTTTCTCTTTTTCTCCTTTTCACTCTCTTAAAATGACTCCGTTGAGGATTAACAAAAATAAATAAACAAAATTAACATAAGCAAGCAGAAAACTTTTAAAAAAATGATAAAAGACACCTTTATTATTCAGGAAATTGCAAGTGTTTAGATGTCAGTTGTAATAACCAGGGACTAACACCAACGTATTATTTTTCTGCATTTGAATATTTATTTTGAGTTCACCTTTCCTAATGCATCAGCATGTTCTGTTACACATTAGATAGCAACCTGTGAGTGATTATTTGCGGAAACCAAGGAAAAAGGCTGACAACTGTAGATTAATTTATTTCAAAGCAAAGACACCGGTCACCAGTTAGCCAGAGTACTTTATTGGATACAGAAAGTCAAAATCTGAGGTGTTCCTAAAAAGATAAGGCACTTGAGGATTTGTAAAAATTTTGGGACTGGCAGCAAGAGTTCAGTAAGCAGGCCCCCATTCAGATGAATTCAGAGTTCATTTAATTTTACATTAAACGTCTTCAGTTGATACCTAGATGATGTTCTTATTGAGTGATTACTTATGTAACTTTTTTTTTGGATGTTTGTCACATGTCAGGCACTATTTTACACATATGGCATTGGAATTCATTCATGAACTGCCTCCCAAGCTGAGCCTTGTGTGTATGTTTCCTTAGTAAACTCTGAGTGTCATAATGGGGCCCTCTGTCCCTTTCTACAGACTCTTGGGCAGGGAAATTTTACGTAACACTCAGTATGACCTCAGGTAAGATGAAGCTAGAAGAAGGAGCAGGACAGGAGCAGGCAGAGCTCATCAATGATCCCAGTCACCTCACATCTCCTGTAATTCGGCCTCAGTAGGAGAAGAAGCAGATTTGTTTGTTGTGTGACTGGCTGGGGCTGAGTCCTCAGTCAGGGCCCTCTGCAGACTGGCGGGAAGGGATTGGATCATTCTCTTTCGGAAGTCTCTCCCCAGGAAGATGTAGAGCATTGGGTTGAGGCAGCTGTTGAAAAAGGCTAGACAGGTAGTTAGAGTTTCCAGGACAAAAATGATGTTGAACTTTCCTTCAAGTATTGCTCTGGCATAGAGTGTATGCAGAAGAAGACACAGTTGCAAGGGGAACCAGCAAATGAAAAAGGAAGCTCCGACAACTGCGAGGACCCGTAAAGGATGATGGGACTTTATCATGCCCTTGTTTCGCATTTTGGCTGCAATGAGCCCATAGCAGATGGCGATGATGGACATCGGTAGAGTGAAGCCAATGACAAACCGGTTGATCCCTATGATTGCTGCTGAGGTAAACAACCTCTGCAACATCTCTTCTTCACTGATGTCACCCCAGAAGTCCATGTTGAAATCACAGTATATATCCCCGTTATCATTTTTGAATGTAGTAAAGAAGATGAGAACTGGCAAGTTGAGGAGTAGAGCAAGAATCCAGGGTACAATGATCACTTTTTTAGCCAGACGTAGAGTGCGGTGGTTCTGGGCCCAAACTGGATGCAAGACACAAATACAGCGGTCCAGAGCAATGAACGCAATGAGGAAGACACTGGCAAACAGGTTTGTGTCTATCACAATGTTAAATAACTTGCATAGGAACCAGCCATAAGGCCATCGTCCCTGCGTATAATTTAAAGCCATGAAGAATGGCAGAGTGACGCTGAAGAGGAAGTCGGCGATGGCCAGGTTCAGGTAACACAAGGTGGTGACTGTGCATGCCATGCGGAATCCAGCCACCCAGATCACAAGCCCATTTCCCACGGTGCCAAGGACACAGGTGATCCCACGTGCCAGAAAGAAGAAGATCTGCAGAGCAGTGTAGCAAGTTTCCATCCTGACCGCACCTGAAACATGTCAACATTGAGAGTGTGTCAGTGGTGCACCATACCACAGCACTTCTGTTCAGGCTAACAACTTCCACTGGAGCTTCCTCTCCAAACCCACTCTCCTGAACCTTGTGGCTCATCACTCAAATTGGACAGACTCTTGGCTGTTCCTTTGGGAAAGGATACCTCTCCATGTTCCCATATTTACTACTGGGCGTTCTACCGATTAGGCTGATTCCTCAACCAAGCGTGTTACAAGGCTCCTGTCTATTAGCGGGATCCTGAGCTGAGGGTGTATAATCAACAGAAAATCGATGGGAGGCATCATGGCACAGTGAGGGAGCACTAGACTCAGAGTGAGTATGGTCACAACCCTTCCACCCATGACTCAATGCGTAGATGTTGGCAGGCTCAGCCACCTCTGCCAGCCCCCATAACTCACAGACTCCCAGCTCCCGTTCCTTTCCTGTGAGAATCCTTGACCTATTGATGGATTAGTCTTCAAAGTTTTAGGACGTGGATTGAGTTGATCGCTTGAACAATTACTGGTAATATATTGTCACATGCTATATCCTGTGGAGTCTGTGGTGGTGGAGGTCAGGGAAGGGGCCCTTCTTTGCATTAAACCCTCTGTTTTCCATTGTGTGTTTGATAGGGAGCTCCTCTCTGTTTGAGATACAAGGACTCTTCACTCATGGGATAGCTTTGGCATAGGATTCTGAGACTGATGGGTTCAGTTCATATTTGTGGGCTCTTACTAGAAACCATGTATTGTATTAAGTGGGGATCATATATAAATGCTGATACAACAAGGCAAGATGATGGTGCAAGAACAGGTGGGGAAAAGCCCATGAGGGAAAGTTGTGAAATTATGGGCCCACTCTCTTAATGCAGGGTGTGGGTGAATCTGTGTTCCAGATGGTACTCAGGTGGATTATGATGGTGGCTATTTGGTGTCTCATAAAAGGTGTCTTTTATACTACAGTGTACCAACTCCAATGGCAACACCTTTGCTTTTGGGTTGGTCCCATCATCTCTGGGATGATGGGAGGAAGTGACCTCCCAATGTTACAGTTGTTAAGGGGCTCCACTGAATTGATAAACACAGATTTTACATGGAAACTCAGCATTCCTTTGTTATCTTTCTCTCTACAGTATTCGGCAAACTGTGGCTCATGAGCCATATGTGACTCTTTGGCCCTTTGACTGGCTCTTCCACAAAATACTACAAACCGAGCAGGTCTATTTTGAAGAAATGGGGTTAGAAGTTTAAGTTTAAAAAGAAAATAGGCTCTCAAAAGAAATTTCAATTGTTGTACTGTTGATATTTGTCTCTGTTGACTAAAGAGTTTGTTGACCATTGCTCTATCATCATGTTTGCATTTCCATGGTTTGGAAAGAATGTTTCAGAACTTCTTTTTTCTCAAACTTATTTTTAAAATATCTTTTTATTGATTTTACAGAGAGAGTAAAAGGAAGAGGGATAGAGAAAAACATGGATGAGAAAGAAACATAATCAACTGCCTCCTATAAGCCCTGAACTGGGGATCTAGCCCAGGAATGTCCCTGATGGGTAATCAAACTGGTGATCCCTTGGTTCATGGATCAATGCTCAACTCGTGAACCACCTTGGCCTGGCTCTCTTTAAACTTCTTAAAGTCCTCCCCATTCTTGCTCTAAGCAGATGCCCTTGCCTCATACTTTAATGAGTAAATGGTAGTAATTGTTTGTGAACCTTTTAGCCTTCTCTCAAGCAAACCCCCTATATATTATAGCTGCACCTATAGAGTGAATAGAGATCTTGATCTTCCCCTTTCATGTTTGCTCTGCATGTCCACCTCTCTCTCACCTTCCCAACAATGCCCTTCCTGCAGTGTCACTTTTCTTTCAAGCCAAAACATCCTTAAGATTTTCTTCCTGGCCAAAACTGGTTTGGTTCAGTGGATAGAGCATTGGCCTGTAGACTGAAGGGTCCCAGGTTCAATTCCGGTCAAGAGCATGTACCTTGGTTGCAGGCACATCCCTAGTGTGCAGGACGCAGCTGATCAATGTTTCTAGCTCTCTATATCTCTCCCTTCCTCTCTGTAAAAAAATCAATAAAATATTTTTTAAAATTTTCTTTCTGTTGTATCATTCTAGCATATAAACTGGATCATATTCCCTCCCTTCACAAAGCAACCACTCTTGACCCATCCTCTTTTTCAGCTTCAGCCCTGTGTGCTCTCAAGAGAATTCTCTTGGTGAGGTGTATCCATGGCCAAACACTAGAAGGCAGAGTGTCTCCCCTTGTCACCTCAGCTTGACTCCTAAATTCACTGTGAATTGACTTGGTCCTGAGCACTCCAAGGACTATGCTCCCCTTCAGGGGGCCCATGGCCTCCATGTCCCTCTCCCAGAAGTGCCTTCTGGGTTCCTATCCTGATATCTCAGTTCAAGGGGAACCATAAAGCACGTCCTCCTTCTCATGCCAGTTGATGATAAAGTGTGCAGGCAACACAGTCTTGGTTGTGCTTATAGCTCAACAGGCCCGTTCACCTCAGTCTTATTTACCAGCCTTTTCTCCTCCCAATCCGAAGGTTGCCTCGGAGAAACCAAACTCTTGACTCATCCCCAAATCAACCTCTCTCGGTGTTCCGTGCCTGTTTGTAACTTACGTGCTCAATTGTTAAATCTGCAAAGCGAACACATCTTTATACCCCCTTACCATGACCATCCCAGCCAAGTCAATCAAGCCTCTCTACAAAATCAGTGAGACCACATGTGGAAAGGTTTCTCTCACCACAACCCTGGTCTGTATCCCTTCTCTGGCTGTAGATCTCCACTAACCTTCCCAATGGCTTGTTCTTGCTTCTGATGCTGTCTATACTCAAATCCATTCTCTACACATCAGCAGGATGATCTCTTAGAAACACAAATCATACCATGACATTATTCTGCTCAGCACCAAATGGCTTCCAAACTTCTAGTTCAAGTCCCCCAAGCACTCCTGTGTCTGCACTGTGCACCCTTCAGAACTCTTATAGACACTGCTGTCTCACACCCTGTGAGGAATCCACACGGAATCCCTTTGATTTCTTGAATGTGCCAAACTCATTGCCATCTCATGCTTTTTCAGGCTTGTTCCTTTTGCCTACTATGCCCCTCCTTTTAAGCTTCCCACCTCTGGCACTCTCTGAATATTGCTATCTCAGCCTAGATGTTATATTCTCAGATGTGTCTTTTCTTTTAAAAAAATATATATTTTTTCTTGATTTTTCACAGAGAGGAATAGAGTTAGAAACATCGAAGAAAGAGAAACATTGATCAGCTGCCTCTTGCACAACCTCACTGGATAAGAGCCCATAACCAAGGTGCATGCCCTTGACCGGAATCAAATCTGGGACCTTTCAGTCCGCAGGCTGATGCTCTATTCAGTGAGCCAAACTGGTCTCCGCAGATGTGTCTTTTCTGACTAACAGTGTAAAGCAGCTTCCCCAAGAACAGACTGTACCTCCAGGGACTGTCCTTCTTTATTTGTCCATTCATTTCTTTTCTTTTTTTTTCTAAGTACTCTCTACATTCATACACCTGCAACAGAAGACTACGGAATTCATCCAATGCTATATCTGTAGAGCCACCCTGTGAGTCTCATGTATCATATGATATTTTAAAAGTAAAAGAAATGAATTTCAATAGTTTATCTTATTTAACTCAAGACATAGAGACTATCATTTGAGCATAACCAATCTGAGAATTTTCAATGAGGCATTTTTTTTCTTCCGTTTTCATGCCAAGTCTTTGAATATCAGAATTCATTTTTGACTGCAGCTCAATGCAGGTCAGATTAGCAAAACTCAATAGTCATATGTGGCAAGTGGATTCCTATTGGACAGTCCAGCTCTGGAGATCAGGAGGTATCTGCCACATAATAGATGCTCTCATAACAATTTTAAAATTCTCAGGCTTGGAACTTACCACCAGCTGCTGCCTGTTCCTGTGTCCAGTTCCTGGCTTGCTGTGGCAGGAGGGCTTCAGCAGCCGCTTTATTAAAGAACAAGGGGGAGGGACAATGGGGCTCAACCAGTGAGGTGACAGATGCCCATCTCCTTGCATTTTCCATAAAACACTCTGGGTATCTTGTCAGGGTACTTTATTTATTTAAAATACATATTTATTAATTTCAGAGAGGAAGAGAGATGGAGAGAGAGATAAAAGCACCAATTATGTGATTCATGATCAGCTGCCTCTTGCATGCCTCTTCCTGGGGATTGAGCCCACAACCCAGGCATGTGCCCTTGACTAGAATTGAACCTGGAACCCTTCAGTCTGTAGGCTGATGATCTATCCACTGAGCCAAACCAACTAGGGTAGAGTACTCCTTTTAGAACCTTAGTGTGTGAATATTCCCCTCACCTCCTACCTGCTATGAGAAATAAGAGTTCAGTGCTCTAAATATGAAGGGCCAAGGATGTTTTGTGTCTGGGCCCTTTCTCTTTGAGAGATTCAAGAAAATGAAAGAAATAGTTGCTGATGTGAGAGGAATTGGAGGCAAGCAATAAAATGTGCACATACCTCATTAGCACAAAATCTGGTGTGATCCAAAGGGACTCCTCATGATAAAAAGACAGTTCTAGCCTTAGATGGGTTGTCTCAATGGATAGAGCATTGGCCTTGGACTAAAAGGTCCAGGGTTCCATTTTGGCCAAGGACCTGTACCTCAGTGGCAGGCTCTATCCTTGGCCCTGGTTGGAGTGGATGTGGGAGGCAACCAATCAAAGTCTCTCTTTCTCTCTCTCTCTCACTGTCTCTCTTTTTCTCTCCCTTCCACTCTCTTAAAATCACTCCGGTGAGGATTAACAAAAATAAATAAACAAAATTAACATAAGCATGCAGGAAACTTTTAAAAAATTGATAAAAGACACCTTTATCATTCAGGAAATTGCAAGTGTTTAGATGTCCATTGTAAGAATCAGGGACTAACACCAATGTATTTTTCTGCATTTGAATATTTATTTTGAGTTCATCTTT